AATACAGACAGTGGGCCAGCATTAACAGTCAAGAATTTTGAGAGGATCAACGATAACCACAAGGTTTACTTTAAGACAGTAAAGGAAGGCTCTAACTGTACATTAATAGCAGTCAACATAAAACTGGTATTTCGGATATGGATTGATCATTGCAGACGGAATCCCTTTCTGCCTTTATATATCTCTGAGGTGCTGTTGCTGACCTACCACAGCAATTACAATGGGGGGTTGTTTAATGAAGTTGGAGCATGCAAAATCTGGTGCAGCTCTGAATAGAAACCAATCAGCTTGCAGGTTTTATTGCTAAAGCTTAGCGGAACAAGATGACATTAGAAGCTGATTGGCTACCATGCACAGCTGCGCCAGATTCTGAGTGCACCAATTTTAGTAAGGCTGGCCATACATGAAACAATTTTCCTTTAGATTTACCAAAAAGCATGTATTATGAGGTCAAACCTGAACAACACTTTCAATTGTATACAATTAGGCAGGCCCTTGCACTACATAGTTGAAGGTAAATCTAAAGGAAATTGGGCGGAAATTGGACAGAAAATTGTAAAGAAATTTTATAATGTATGGCCAGCCTAAGTCTCTCCCAATGGGTCTGTCTCTACCACTAGACTTTTCTTTTGTTCCAGGCTGCAAAGAATTCCAATAAAAATATGTAAATGTGTGTAAACATTACAAGCAAACTTTCCTAATTAGGTCCGGTAAATAAACCATTGAAAGCATTTTGTTATATTCATCAAAAAAAAAAAAACCAAAAAAAAAAAAACCAAAAAGTAAAAGTATCAACAGTGAGAAATTCAGAGCTGTCATGTGCATATTTCCTGTGTTATCTAGGAGAGTTCTCCCAGTTTCTTTCCTTGCACTACAATTCATCCCTAATGCTGTGAAGATTAAGAGAATGAGTGGGATTTAATAGTTTGAGGCTACATTCACACTGCTCCATTGCAAAAACGCATATGAATTTTTGACACAATTTGCACCTGTGAAAAAGTTTTGCTCAAAAGCACCAAAACCGCAACCACAGTTGTTTTAGATGAGTTCTGCAGCAAGCAGAACTTTGAAAAATGCAACGGACCCGCAACTGACCAGTGTAAAGAGTTCCATAGTATTTTGGCCATGCGTTTTTTCTTCCGTTTTTGAGTGTAAAAAAAAAAAAAAAAAAAAAAAAAGCAGATCAGTATGCAGCTTAACAGACAATTTAGAAATGAGGTGACACCAATTCTTGCAATTTTAGTCAACACAAAAGGCATATGGTGTAATTTCAGCTCACAAATATCAACACCGCATTTGTATATACTGACATCCAGCCGCAGCTCATCTACCCACTCCTGTTTTATCATATAATAGTCTGCAAAGCTGCACTTTCAATTACACACAAATGCCCATCAGATTCAGTGCTCACTGGAATAGTCCTGACTGCATTTCTAAAGGTCTTTAAAATGCTTGTGTCACAGAATCCTGATCATCATTTCTCCAGGAATTGGCTGTAGCAACAGAAATGCCCAATGCAGTCCTTCCACCAGTTAGGTCTTTGGTCACTCTCAAGCTCCTTCAGTATATTGGGCAGAACTTGATACGAACTCATCAGAAGCATCGGATGAAACCAACAGTTGAAAACAGTTTAGCTGTGCTACTGTGATGTTTGAAAGTCACCAAAGAGCTAGCATGAGAAGAACAGCACTGTTACAACAGGCAATTACCTGGAGAACTGATGATCAGAAGCGTTGATAGAAATGTGGGTCTGAAGTTTCAGTGAGTGCTGAATCCGAAGGGTAATTTGTGTTTAATTGAAAGCATAACTGTTAGGAGTACTATTATTCTTCCATACTGTCATTTCACAAGAGGAGTTTAGAAGACGAGTGCATAGCTGGCAGATCCGCAGGTATTTTTCTACTTTACCTGCAGGGTCTTTCCAGCAATAGAACATGGGGAAATGTACACAGTGCAGAGATCTACTGCTTTTTCTAAAGATTGTTTGCACTGACATATATATGCTTTAATACACGATCTACCGCTACAAGTGTAAGAATGAGGCAGTGTGTGGCAAAACTAAACTCCAAAAAGGAGATGTCATTACCGAAGTCCCTGAGGTATGCAAGTAGGCAATATAATTCAGTTTTCCACAGCTCACACCAACAAACATCAGTTTTGTATGGACTGAAATAAAAGCACATTACAGGTTCACTATGAAAAGGTACAAATCCAAAACTAGAACTAATCTACAAACGAATATTATTACCCTTTAGAAACCATAAAAGAAAAATGTTACAGAAACAAAACAATCTTAACTCCGTATGTTTAACATTTGTCTTTGGTAGGCGCTGACACAGTGTTAAATTTATACAAATGATACCTAATGTAATGAATATCTGAACACAGGGAATTTGTTGCAGCATTTAAATGGGTTAACAAGTTGCAAAGAGGCTTTCTTCCCATCTTTACAAATATTAAGGCCTAAGTCCACTTATTTGCAAAAAATAAATGCATCCAAATTTGCATATGGCCAAGGCAAAGCATTGCAACTTCGATCAGTGTAATGCACAGGTTCCTGCAGACTCTACTTCTACTTAAATGGTTATATATTGCGAGTCCTCAGATGAGGAGGCTGCATTAGTTTTCTTTTTTTAGGCTTTTATTTCCTTTGTTTTCACCTAGTAATCCTACAAATAAATCTCCTGTCCTAGGGTGGCTATGCACAATCACTGCACAGTATCTGTGGAAGGAGCCATGGCTGTCAACCAGACTGGACTTTAAACATGCTTTTCTCTTTTTTGCTTTATACAAGGGTGGGAGAATTATTAGTTTCTGCAGACAGAAGAGATTTTTTTTGTTGCATCCAGTTAATGTCAAAGGAGGTTACTAAGGACAGTGCTTTTCTGCCAAGATGAAGAGCTATCCTCTGTACTTGCTGAAAAAATTCTTAGCCTGCAAAAACTAAAACTAATGCAGCCACCACAAGGACTCATAAGCTGCAATATATTACATTTTAGTTTACCTGTGTGCCCCCAGATTAAGAGATCTTTAACTGCAGAGTTCAGATGGGGTTCTTCCTCTTCTCCAACTCTTTGCTGCAGGTTAGACACAGACAACTTCATGCGACTTGCCATACAGCAAGATACTGAGGACAGAGGGGTAACAGAAATTGAACTCCTCATCTGAAGATCTCTAAAAAAAAAATTGCTTTGTAGTACTGTCCATGCACCCAAATCCAGGCCCCTCAGTCAATCCCAGGAATCTTGTGATCCTCCTGGAGTTCATCTTTAACTGTTTACACCCTAAAGGTTGACTAAGTCAGAGATGTGTAAAACACGAAGCACAAACAATTAAAAGACCTCCTTGTATACCTGTGTGCACTGTACAGTCAAAATGCAAAATCTGTCTATGTCCCAGCACTGATCACCATGGATCATGCAAGAAATAAATTATATTAACAGATGATAAATTTACACGTTCACCTGCCTCCATTTTTCATGTAAATAAAAGTTGCTTTTTGGTATTTAAAAAAAACAAACAAATATGTTAAATGTATGACAAACATGTCGTACTTACCTGCTCTGTGTCTTCTCAGGTTCCCCACTGGCACTCCTGATTGCTATGGGGGCACTCGCTCTCAAGCCTAGTTCTGTGTGTCCACAGACACACAGGGGTCTCACACACAGAAGGTTTTTACCTTCATGCAGGGAATGCATGAAGGTAAAAAAAAAAAAAAAAACCTTTAGCCTTTACAACCACTTTAGGGAAAACTATTTCCCTTAAAGTAACATTAGTACACTATCATGACGTGCCAAATGTACCCTAAACCTCTTATTGTAAGCAGCAAACGATTTTACATATTTCTCACTAGAGTAGTTTGGAAGTTTAAATGACATCACATTTTTTTACAAGTGAACCATGCATTCTTCAAATGACAGGTTACTTATTTTACCCATGTTAAACCACCCAAAGCTCTTGCTACAGAAAAGAACCTGTGACTGGAAAAGCATTGTCCAGAGTCTAAAGCAAGCCATAGATGATGCAATTTCTGCAAACACGGGTTGTAGGAAAGAAAACCATTCCATTCCTCCAACAGTGTCAGTGCCGATGGAGGAATCCCTCCCATAACGCTATTTTGTTCTGCCAGCAGGAAACCTTCCCTGTCTGTAGCACACAATGATTACTTCTGGTGCCTATAGTCGCCAGCAGTAACCGCACGCAAAAAAATCCAACAGGCTGGTTGTACTGAAGTCAATTGATAGATCAACTTTGGTACAACCAGCCTGCCCATAAATGAATTGAATTTCAGCCAATCCCTGCTGAACTGAATGATATTCAACCCATCTATGGCCAACTTAACTTCCCCCGCCATGACAGCAGATCTATGGTGTGTCATTGTGCTCATTCCCAGCACTTTCAACTTTGGGTAGTTTTCCAGCTCACTCAGTAACTGGCTGCCACCACTAACACCACAGCACCATTGTGGGTTCACTGGTAAGAAAGGCTGTTAACAGAGCCAAAGGTGGTCTGAAAGTGCTGAAAAGGAATAATCTATTACCTTTCCTCTAAGTGCATGTAAAAGCATCGTCACAGCTGATAAAGTTACATATAACAACTCTAACACATTTAATAATAGGAAACAAAACAAAAAGTAAAGCTCTAATTCTAAACTTCTGAAACAATAAAAGATTAACTTGTATTTTAAAGCAGAAGCCATCGCAAAATAAAATTATAAATAGCGAGTCTGGATCAATTTATAATATATAAAGCATTTATATTTTATTCTAAAATTTCCACTCCAGCACACCATATTAAAAATAGCAACTTACAATACTAAAAAGTAAAAATAAAAAAAAAAAAAGTTTAACTGCTTCCGCGCCGCCCTATAGCAGAAATACTGCTAAAGAGTAGCAAGGGTACACAAAATCACGTATATATACACGTGATTCTACATGTTCCGGGTAGGGGGCACGCACGCGACCTACCCACGCTGTCATTCGCAGCCTTGGCTGGCAATCACCGGGCCCCGGCCGGTGATTTCTTGCTGGCACCTGGCGATCGCCGAGCATCTCCGACGGGGGAGAGACCTGTGCATAAACAACACAGATCTCATCCCTGTCAGCACCTGCACACTGCTTTGTATGGCTCTGGATAGCAAATCCATACAAAGCAGTGTGCTTAAAGGGGAAAGCACTCACACAGCACACTGAAAAACAGCACACAGTTAACCCTTTGATCTCCCATGTTAACCTCTTCCTGCCCAGTGCCATTAGTACAGTGTCAGTGCTTTTTATTAGCACTGATCACTGTATTGGTGTCACTGGGGATGTCAGTTCCCCAGTATAAGAATGCCTGCCACAGTCCCTATAAAGTCACTGATCGCCACCATTACTAGTTAAAAAAATAAATTCCAGTATATATATCGCCATTTGTAGATGATATGACTTTAATGTAAACCAATTACTATACATGTATTGGGATTTTTTTTGTAGCAAAGACATGTAGCAGAATACATTTTGGCCTAAATTTATGACGAAATTTGATCTGTGCCCCACTGGGGATATTCCCTTCACTTCCTGTTCCATAGCCAAAATGGGAGTGAGAGAAAAAATCTCTGCAAAGTATGGGAATCCCAAGGTGTCCTCACTGAAAGATTTCCCATCTATTACTGTCTAAGGGACAACCCAAAATGTGGGATTTTTTTTCACTCTTTCAATGATAATAGAAAAGTGTGAATTTCCATGATGGGGGGGGGGGGGGGGGGGGGGGGGGGAAGGGGAAGGCAGCATTAAAAACTGACAAGGTTCTTAAAAAAAAAAAAAAAAAAAAAAAAAAAAGATTTTTGCCTTTAGTTATTTTCATGTATTTGACTTGACTCCACTAACACCTGGTTCACACTAATGTAGTGTGGGAAACGCAATGAATCCTGTGCGTTTCAAGCACCACATTGCAATCTCACAGCATCCATACAATCTGGTGTGGGTGTCAATGTTAAATAATGACACCCAGAAACAGATTGCGAAATGCAGTGAACTTGCCAGTAAACGGATCGAATGGACATGAACACTCATGCAACGTGAATCAGGTGCGGGAAAACAAGGGAGGGTGCGGATGCGATGAAATTTGAAAATCGCACTGCACAGACATCACATATGATTTGCAAAGGAATGCAGTACGATTCCTGTGCGAATTACATGCAGTGTCCCGCACCGTACAAGTGTGAACCTAGACTCAAAGGGGCATCAGACCAGCAATCGCTGCAGCGCACACAAGGTTCATAAACAGATGGAACCAAACCAACAAGGGTTTACAAGTTTAAGGTTAGGGTCACATCTGTGTTGTGCGGGAAAAAGTGTGTAAATCTCACCATTCCCACACCTGCACAAAAAGAAAAACTGCTTTTAAGAAAACGCATGGGGGTGCCATTAACTCTTAATTATACCCCAATGCACTGAAAAATGCAGTGCGGCTTGCTGCACGCATAAAACGCATGGTGCCAAAACACCGAACGGTTTCCACACAGGTTCAGAAACAGTTTTTCTGAAGGAAACACACATACAATAGCCCATTCAAATGAATGGGCTGCTGTGTCCAGGCAAACACGGCACGCAGAACCACAAATGTGAACCAAGCCTAAAACCTCCATACTATCAAACCATTAGCAAAAAGAAAAAAAGGGGAGGCACTTTTACAGCAGCCACAATTTTGCAGCTAGACCCATTGGCCTCAATAAGTAGACAGATCTGCATTAACTTATATCAACATCAATAAAATTGTCCAACCATACTACTGTATGGAAATACAACACACACTATTAAAAAAACGCCATAAAAAAAACGTATATTTTGAACCCTGAGGTTTCTAATACATGAACAGTAAGTGTGTGTGAGTAATAAATACACACACACAGAATATGTATACAAAAAAAGTATATACATACTGAATTAGTTATCAGCAAAACTACAGACAGTTCTAAAGTCATAGCTATACATATTGGGCAGTGCTGGGGGATGTCTTTCGGTACCCTGTTTCAAAAACCATAAACATGCATCTCAGCATACATTTTACACAAATAAAAATCCTCCACGAAAAAAAAAACAAACATACTGGATATCCAGTTTCCCGTTCATGTTTCTTAATAGCTAAATAAAAGTTAAATTACTAGTTGAACTGTGTACTAGTAAATGGACTCTGAAGGGACTATGTAAACAAAAAGTATACATAAAGCTCCAAAAATACTCCATAAAAGAAACAAAAAAGACCAAAGCTTTGTAAAGGTCCTTGGTAGTAGCCGTAAAATTATTATATCAGAAGTTAACATGTTCATCAATTCCAGGGCTCACTTCCAATACAACAGAAGACAAGCATGGGGGAACAGAGAAAACACACTGCAGTCCAAGGAGAGAACACTTTCACAGAGAGGTAACTGAACAATTTCTACAGTGAAGAAACAATTGTTACTGGAAGCCTGATTGAATTGCATTTCAGGAAAGGCCATAGAGAGTCCAATGTTGTTTAAAAAATTACATTTTTCAGCAAAATCAAGCAAGCTTCTTTCCATGTACAGAGAACAGTCACTACAGTTTATCCAGGAGACTAGTATCAGCATTGCATAGGTGGTGGTAAGAAAATTGTCCCCTTTGTTAAACAAACAAAACAAGAGAAAACAAGGTGCTCCCAGAAACATCTCATCTCCACCACCTCTCAAAACTGTGAAAAGCACATGTAGGGTGATCATCTGAGGATACAATCGCTTTCTAGCCATCAGATAAAGCATGGTCAAGTTCTCTATTAGAATTGTAACAGATATTTAATTTACCTGTAATAAAAGATGTCCCACATTGTGCAGGCACCTGGAGTAGCAGTGCTGCTATGAAAAAGTTCTTGATGGGAACCCACTCCTTCCTCCATTGAGAAATGTTCTTTCAAAGCATTTCACCAACTATAACATGATCTGTGAATGGGTAATAAGGGGGAGGTAAGGGGGGATCAGGGTGTCTCAGGATTCTCTCCCCCCATTCACAGATCGTGTTGCAGACAGGGAAAGCAAGGAAAGAGCATTCCTCAATGGAGGGGGGTGGGTCCCCAGTGTGAATTTTTCACAAAAAACCTGAAGCCCCAATAATATAATATTGGAAGTTCCCAGACAGGAAGAGGATGGGACCCCCTGCATAGACTATTTCTCTAGGATCCAGGTATTTGCTGGATCCTGTTCATCCTTCATTACAGGAAAGTTAGCTCATCAAAGCTATAGAAACGGTTTTCTATTGCAAAAACAGTACAGATTACCAAGTCTAACTAGGACATGTGACATGTAAGTAAAAAGGAAAATGGCAAAAGCTTTGTGCTAGGTACTCAGCTCTATGTTATATAGTCACAACTTCAAACATACAAGAAAAAAAAAGTACAAGGAAGTTTTGAAAACGAGTAACAATTTTAAAGAAAACTTGTGTGGGGACAATATTTAACAGGTGTTACACAAAATGCCAATGTCACCAAAATAATTGTTTACAATGAGTTCATGTTCCCTCCCCCATTGTTTTACATGTGCAGTATGAAATTGCATAGATGTGTGTGCAGAATATGACAATGAGGAACTTTCCTTCCTTCCATCTAGCATATTTTTGGACAACTTGAAAAGTTTACCAGCTTAAAATCATTGAGGCAGGCTGGGCTGCAGAACCTCTTCCACTGGCCATCTATCATGAGAACATTGCTTCCGGCACCTTTGCTTGGTAGATATTCTCCACAGTGTTCACAACAATTCATGATCAGGCCGTTGGCCATCCTATAGCGATTGAAGCAGTGATCACTGCACAACTTATGAGTCATGTTTTTAAAGCTAACTTCATGGCGAATCTAAAAAAGAAAAGAGAAAGCATTAGAAAGTTACATAAAACTCAGGACTCTAAATATTAAGTCAAACAGAAAATGTTATATTTCATGGGAAAGTGCTATGAATGGAGGACTGTAATATGGGGGTGGGGGAAGGGGTGCTGTACGTATGAAAAAGTATTCATACCCCTTGAAATTTTCCACATTTTGTCATGCTACAACCAAAAACGTAAACATATTTTATTGGGATTTTATGTGATAGAACAACAAAAAAGCATTGAATTGTGAAGCAGAAGGAAAATAACTTATTTTAAAAATTTTATTAAAAATAAATATCTGAAAACTGCAGTGTTCATTTGTATTCAGCCCCCTTTACTCTGATACCCCTAACTAAAATCTAGTGGAACCAATTGCCTTCAGAAGTCACCTAATTAGTAAATAAGAGTCCACCTGTGTGTAATTTTATCTCAGTATAAAGACAGCTGTTCTATGAAGCTCTCAGAGGTTAGTTAGAGAACATTAGTGAACAAACAGCATCATGAAAGCCAAGGAACACGCTAGACAGGTCAGGGATAAAAATTGTGGAGACATTTAAAGCAGGATTATGTTATAAAAAAAAAATATCTCAAGGTTTGAACATCTCACGGACCGCTGTTCAATCCATCATCCGAAAATGGAAAGAGTATGGCACAACTGCAAACCTACCAAGACATGGCCGTCCACCTAAACTGATAGGCCGGGCAAGGAGAGCATTAATCAGAGAAGCAGCCAAAAGGCCCATTGTAACTCTGGAGGAGCTGCAGAGATCCGCAGTTCAGGTGGGAGAATCTGTCCACAAGACAACTATTAGTTGTGCACTCCACAAATCTGTCCTTTATGGAAGAGTGGCAAGAAGAAAGCCATTGTGGAAAGAAAGCCATAAGTCGTCCCAGTTGCAGGGTGCGACGGGGGACACAGCAAACATGTGGAAGAAGGTGCTCTGGTCAGATGAGATCAAAATTGAACTTCTTGGCCTAAAAGCAAAACGTTATGTGTGGTGTAAAATTAACACTGCACATCACCCTGAACACACCATCCGCACTGTGAAACATGGTGGTGGCAGCATCATTTTGTGGGGATCTTTTTCTTCAGCAAGGACAGGGAAGCTGGTCAGAGTTGATGGGAAGATGGATGGAGCCAAATACAGGGAAATCTTAGAAGAAAACCTGTTCTTCTACAAAAGAGTCTGCAAAAAGACTTGAGGCAGAGGTACACGATCCAGCAAGACAACGACCCTAAACATACAGCCAGAGTTACAATGGAGTGGTTTAGAGCAAAGCATAATCATGTGTTAGAATGGCCCAAAGTCCAGACCTAAATCCAATTGAGAATCTGTGGCAAGACTTGAAAATTGTTCACAGACGCTCTCCATCCAATCTGACAGAGTTTGAGGTATTTTACCAAGAAGAACTGGCAAAAATTTAACTCTATAGATGTGCAAAGCTGGTAGAGACATACCCAAAAAGACTTGCAGCTGTAATTGCAGCGAAAGGTGGTCCTAAAAAGTATTGACACAGGGAGGCTGAATACAAATGCATGCCACACTTTCCAGATATTTGTAAAACAATTTGAAAACCATTTATCATTTTCCTTACACTTCACAATTACAGTTGTGTTCAAAATAATAGCAGTCAGACATCACTAACCTGATCAATCACTGTTTTTGGTAGAAATTATATTTCTACATGGCAAATAATTTACTAGCAGGTGTAGTAGAGTAATAAAAAATCCAACAGACCCAACAGTCATGACATGCATGCTGCTGATTCTGTGTAATTGAAGCACTAATTGAAAGGGGCATGTTCAAAATAATAGCAGTGTGGAGTTCTATTAGTTAGGTCATTCATTCTGTGAAAAACAGGTGGCAATTATTGCCCTTATTTAAGGAAGGAAGGCAGCAAATGTTGTACATGCAGGTTACAGTGCATTTCTCTCTGAAATTCTGAGGAAAATGGGTCGTTCCAGACTGTTCAGAAGAACAGTGTACCTTGATTAAAAAGTTGATTGGAGAGGGGAAAACATATAAAGAAGTGCAGGAAATGATAGGCTGCTCAGCTAAAATGATCGCAAATGCTTTAAATGGCAACCAAAACCTGAAAAACTACCATTCGAATGGATAGAAGAATAGCCAAAATGGCAAGGACTCAGCCAACAATCAGCTCCAGGAAGATCAAAGAAGGGCTAAAGTTACCTGTGAGTACTGTTACAATTAGAAGACGCCTATGTGAAGCCAAGCTATCTGCAAGAAGCCCCCGCAAAGTCCCACTGTTGAAAAAAAAGACGTGCTGAAGAGGTTACAATTTGCCAAAGAGCACATTGACTGGCCTAAAGAGAAATGGCGCAAAATTTTGTGGACTGATGAAAGTAAGATTGTTCTTTTTGGGTCTAGTTTGGAGACAGTTTGTCAGACACCCCCAAACACTGAATTCAAGCCACAGTACACTGTGAAGACAGTGAAGCATGGTTGCGCAAGCATCATGATATGGGGATGTTTCTCATACTACGGTGTTGGGCCTATTTATCGCATACCAGGGATCATGGATCAGTTTGAATACATCAGAATACTTGAAGAGGTCATGCTGCCTTATGCTGAAGAGGAAATGCCCTTGAAATGGGTGTTCCAACAACAAACGACCCCAAACACACCAGTAAACGTGCAACATCTTGGTTCCAGACCAACAAGATTGACGTTATGGAGTGGCCAGCCCAATCGCCGGATCTTAATCCAATAGAAAACTTGTGGGGTGACATCAAAAATGCAGTTTCTGAGGCAAAACCAAGAAATAGAGAAGAACTGTGGAATGTAGTCCAATCATCCTGGCTGGAATACCTGTTCACAGGTGCCAGAAGTTGGTTGACTCCATGCAACACAGATGTACAGCAGTTCTCAGAAACAGTGCTTATACAACTAAATATTCATTAAGTGATTCAAAGGAAAGCAAAATCTTCAAACATTTTTCAGTTTATATAGTGAATGTTTGAGTTTGTAAAGAAGAATACAAACACTGCTATTTTTTTTTTTGAACAGTCTAATATTCACTTTTCTTCCATTTTTTTTTAGAGGAACAACACAAATTTGATATATTTTTCTTCATGTTTTGATTTGGAATAGAATGTGTAATGTTCCCAATGCATTTGTGTGTATGGAAATAAAAGCTATTAGAAGGATTTTGAGCTTTATTCGCTTTTTTCAACACACTGCTATTATTTTGAACACAACTGTATGTGCCACTTTGTGTTGGTCTAACACATACAGTGAAGGAAATAAGTATTTGATCCCCTGCTGATTTTGAATGTTTGCCCACTCACAAAGAAATGATCAGTCTAAAAATCGAATGCTAGGTGTATTGTAACACTGAGAGACAGAATATCAACAAAAAATTGAAAAGAAATGCATGTCTAACAAATTATGCACCGATTTGCATGTTCAAGATCCAAATCATTAAGGTTTGGTGGCTGATGTTTGGCAACTCTAACTTTCAGCTCCCTCCAGAGCTTTTCAATTGGATTAAGGTCTGGAGACTGGCTAGGCCACTCCAGGACCATATTGTGCTTCTTTTTGAGCCTCTCCTTTGTTGCCTTGGCCGTGTGATTTGGGTCATTGTCATGCTGAAATACCCATCTACGAGCCATTTTCAATGCCCTGGCTGAGGGAAGAAGGTTCTCACCCAAGACTTGATGGTACATTGTACCATCCATCGTCGTTCCTTTGATGCGGTGCAGTTGTCCTGTCCCCTTAGCAGAAAAAACACCCCCAAAGCAGGATGTTTCCACCACCATGTTTGACAGTTGGGATGTGTTCTTGGGGTCATAGGCAACATTCCTCCTCCAAACACGGTGAGTTGAGTTGATGCCAAAGAGCTCGATTTTGGTCTCATCTGACCACAACACTTTCAACCAATCCTCCTCTGCATCATTCAAATGTTCAGTGGCAAACTTCAGACGGGCCTGGACATGTGCTTTCTTGAGCAGAGGGACCTTGCAGGCACTGCAGGATTTCAATCCCTGTCGTCGTAGTGTGTTACCAATTGTTTTCTTGGTGACTGTGGTCCCAGCTGCCTGGAGATCATTGACAAGATCCTCACGTGTAGTTCTGGGATGATTCTTCGCTGTTCTCATGATCATTGACACTCCACAAGGTGAGATCTTGCATGGTGCACCAGACCTAGGGAGACTGACAGTTGTTTTCGTTTTTTTCCATTTGCGAATGATTGCACCAACTGTTGTCACCATCTCACCAAGCTGCTTGGCGATAGTTTGGTAGCCCAGTCCAGCCTTGTGTAGGTCTACAATCTTGTCCCTGACATCCTTGGAAAACTCTTTGGTCTTTGCCATGGTGGAGAGTTTGGAATCTGATTGTTTGATTGCGCCTGTAGACAGGTGTCTTTTATACAAGTAACAAAAGGAGATTAGCAGCACTCCCTTTAAGAGACTGCTTATAATCTCAGCCTGTGACCTGTATGAAAGACACCTGGTAAGCCAGAAGTCCTGCTGAATGATAGGGGATCAAATACTTATTCCCCTCATGAACATGCAAATCAGTGCATAATTTGTTAGACATGCATTTCTTTTGAATTTTGTGTTGCTATTCTGTCTCTCAGTGTTACAATACACCTACCATTTGATGTTTAGACTGATCATTTCTTTGTGAGTGAGTTTTTACAAACATTCAAAATCAGCAGGGGATCAAATACTTATTTCCTTCACTGTAAAATCCCAATAAAATACATTTATGTTTCTAGTTGTAACATGACAAAATGTGGAAAATTTCAAGGGGTATTAATACTTTTTCAAGGCACTGTAGATGCAATGGGGGAGGTTGTGATGTGATGGATCTGAGCCATAGCACAAAAATGAGATTTGGACCTCTAAACTTGCTGGAGGATCATTTTACTGACCGGACCTCTGAAAATTTTAATTCTATACCATGGCAATATACTAAAGTTGTTTATGCCATATTAATTGGACCTGCAGCCTTACAGAATGAAGGAATTTGGTTCAGTCCTAGCCAGGTACCACACATGCCTACCCTGTATGTTCCTTCTGTGTTTAATGTTTTTTTAAAATACTCTGGTTTCCTTAAGATATCAAACACAAACATGTAGGCACCCACACAAAACTGGTGATTGGCAAAGACAAATGGTTTGATAAAACTATTAAACAATATTAACAAAAGTGTGCCCATTCCAAATCGCAAAGGGTGGGGATGTACCCAACAATGCTAAAGAAATGTCTCGGCAGGCAGTATGTGCAGGAGAGGAAAGTAGAGGGTGTGACAACAGGCAATATTGTGCAGGCAAATTGTACAGAAGGTATGACAGTCGGCGGTATGTGCAGGAGTGTGAAGAGTATGACAGTGTCTGCTAGTACAAATTAGGACTGTATGAAAGCGAGTAGAATGTACAGAAGAGGACTGCAAATTGTATGAGAGGAGACAATATACACAAGAGTGTAGATCAGAAAGTACTGCAGGAGGCAATATATGCAGGAGGGGAGGGCACAGAGTATGGCAGCAGGCAGTATGTGCTTGAGAAGAGTAAGGAGGGCAAGACAGGAAAACATGTACAGGAGTGAATGACAGTGGAATACATGATAGAAGGCATGTGTAGTAGAAAACGGGGGGGGGGGGCATACAGATAAAACCTGAGTGTGTTTGCTGGAGGATGGATACAGCTGAAAGTGTGTGTGCTAAAGGAGGGAAAGATCTATGCGTGTGCTGGTGGTGGGACTTCACTGGGGAAACACCAATCTGTGTGCTAGAATTATGTTGTTACTAGAGAAGAACCAACAGTATTTGTATATGAACCTAAGGTATACCTCTGTTAGTTTGCCACAGATAGTGCATCTTGATTTGTTTTGATTTTTGGCAGAATTCTGTTTGTCCTCATAAACCGATAAACAATAGGTACTACAAAATTCCTGAAAGGATTCACTTGAATCGACTTGAGCAACAATTGTACCTTTCATTGTTGTAATATCTCTGCAAGAAACAAGCAGAAAATGTTGTTAACAAGCATACTATTTACAACCCGCGGATGAGTAAGCACAACCTTAAAGAAAACAAAACAAATAAAACCAAACAATTTTTTTTTCAGGGCCAAAAATGATTTTCTCTCTCTTAGGAGCCCCATTTTGCCTTCTGCAACAAGTCTGACCAATGTTTGAACTATGAGCTGCCCCCAACATCACCTGCAGATTTACAAAGTACTGTATGTGAAATCTCTAAACCCAATACACATTGTTAACAGTGTCAAGTGGTGAGCAGCTGTTCAAGATGTTCATAAAACATTGAAATTACTATAACAAAAGAATTAAAAATATTGGAAAAAAAAAAATTCAGCTGTAGTGCAAAAAAAATAAGCATTTTGCCTGTAAATTTCTTATATTGGTGTACAGTACATGACATCAGAATGGTTTTCATAGACCATGAGTTAGATATGCTGCTACCTTCAGGTGACTGGACACCAGCAAAGACCTTTGCTATGGCCTCCCTTAGGCTACGTTCACACTAGCTTTGTCAGCAGGCGTTATACAAGCATTTGGGAAGCGTTTTTTTAATGCTTCTCAAATGCCTATGAAAATTCCGCACATAGCAGCACACAGTGAAACAGTGTTGCGGCAAAACTGACGCCTCATGTCGAATCAGGAGGAGTTGAAGCCTCCCATTCAAGTCTATGGTGCTGCTCTTCAAACGCCTGGAGGCGAGGCGCTTTGCGGAATGTTAATACCATTTAACTTCATTATAGGCCTTTGTGGTGCGGTTTTAACGCTTGGCAAACGCCTATCAAATGCCTCAAAACCAAGCATAGGGCGTTTGGGGAGAGTTAAAAACGCTTCCCAAATGCCTGTCAAATGCTATAGGGGCGTTTGGCAAGAGTTAGAAATAAAGTCAAGTGTGAATGAGCCCTTAGAGCATACACATATAACCCTGTCCACTCTGTAAGGCACCAGTTTTTTTTTTAGCAAGCAATACAAAGTGTTCAAGACAAAGGTGGAAAGGACCAGCATCTTGTACTGTACTCCAGGATATGGATTTTACAGGCAATTCACAATTCCTATTTATTTTAATTTTACAGTACAGGGCTGGTATTCCTAAGACCACGGGAAGTGCCCAAGCAATAAGACTGAAGGGTGGGCAATAATATAGCAACTTGGAACTGCCAACAAGAAACACAAAGATGCGGAACCTGAAGAAAAACAGCTTGAAGCGCCTTGGGCCAAAACTCACATCAGTTGAGGACTGAAAACATGCTGTTAAAAGACAACCTGGTTGCAGCACATCTGGGATACAGATTGCTTGATGATGATAGGCCAAGTACACTCGAACAGCAATGGTGGAAAGGGCTCTAATCAAAAAGGAAGGAACCTTTTGCTTAAAAAGGCATAGGCCCTGGAAATGAGCCGTCTGATCCACCTGGCACCAGTGTATCATTTACAAGGGCCCATGGGCAGGACAAGAGTAACTCGGTCTTGCAAACAGAATCTGTAGCTTTCAGGTAGACCCCGTAGGGTTAATTTCTCTGTCATGCTTTTAAGCAGGACAGATGGAAGGCAGGACAATGACCTCAATGAGGTTGAAAGACAAGACAACCTTGGGTAAAAAGGAAGGTTTCAAAACCACCTGGGTCCTTGTGAAAAACAAGAACAAGCTCCATACAAGAGAGCTGCTAACTCAGAAACACACCCTACAAGACATGCTGGTAACCAGGAAGGCAAGCTAGGTTTTACAAAAAGTGTGACCCTATCCTTACAAAACATGTCATACGTACCTGCTCTGTTCAATGGTTTTGCACAGAGCAGCCCTGATCTTCCTTTTCTGGGGTTTTCGATGGCACTCAAGGCTTCTTTTCTTTGTCTGCCACCATAGCAAGCACTTGCTATGAAGGCAGACATGCAGGCTCGATCCCATGCTGGGCTTGGGTGTCCACTGACACACACACACACACACACACACACACAGCGAGGCTGGACACAGTGAACACAGTTTTTTTTTTTTTCACTTCAATACAGAGTATGCATTAGGTAAAAAACTTTCTGCCTTTACAACTACTTCAATCAGTTACCGACTGCGCTATAGCCAAAAGACTGCTACAGCTTGGTCATCTAGTACTGGGATGTCTATATAGACATCCTTCCAGAACTCCACACCCCTGCACGCCCACAGATCGTTGTGTCCTTTAACCACTTGACGCCCGGCCTATGGCCAAATGGCGTCCGCAAAAGTGCATTACCTTTCCGGGAGGCCGCCATATGGCGTCCTCCCGCACATGTGCAGTTCGCGTGCTTGCAGAGCAGCGGCGCGGTCTGTCACCGGCTGTGTACCTCGGACACGGCAGATGACAGATCTGAGTACCGGCCCCCCTTGCCGGTACCATGTGACCTGCTGTGACCAATCACAGCAGGTCACATGACAGTTGTATACAATGGATGGCTTCATTCATGCCATCCATTGTATACTACTGCCTAGCTGTGAATGGTCACAGCTAATCACATGCACATGTCATGTGATTAGCTGTGGCCAAATCACAGCTAAGCACAAAAAAAAAAAAAAACCCTGAATGAATCGATGTCATTCAGGTAAATGCTTGCTTATAGCAAAGTAATTCTTTGCTATAAGCAAATTGTGTAAAAAAAAAAAAAAAAATACTTATCACTTACCCAAAGTAGTACAATGTTACTATGGTAACATTGTACTACTTTGGACATAGTGAAATATGACAAAACAAATCTTAAAAAAAAAGAAAACAAAATTTACTAAAAAATTTTAAATAAAAAAAAAAAAAAAAATGAAAAAAAAAAAAAATGAAAAAAAAAAATATTTTTTTTTTTCACACTGTCACCAGTCCCTGGTCACTGCCATGCCAGTTATAGGATGACGCTGTAGGATGACGCTGGTGTAAAAAAAAAGTGAAAATAATTTTTTTTTTATTTTTTCATTTTCCGAAACATGACAAAAAAAAAAATACGGACTTCAAAAAACTCGCCATTCCTCTTATGAAATATGTCGGACTGTCTACTTTGCAAACAGTGGTCATTTGGGGGATATCTGTACTGTTCTGACATTCTTGGACCTCAAGAAATTAGATAGGCTGTCAGTACTTTAGGATTGATCAATATTCAGATATATACCATAGTTTGTAAACTCTATAACTTTCCTACAAACTAAAAAAATACATCCTAATTTGGGTTATTTTCACCAAAGACATGTAGCAGAATACATCTTGGCCTAAATTTATATGAAGAATTATTTATTTGCAAACTTTTATAACAGAAACAAAGAAAACCGTGTGTTTTTTTTTCAAAATTTTCAGTCTTTTTTGTTAATTTAGCAAAAAATAAAAACCCCTGTGGCGATTAAATACCACCAAAACAAAGCTCTAGTTGTGTGAAGAAAATGATAAAACTTTAGTTTGGGTACAATGTTGTATGACTGCGCAATTGTCATTCAAAGTGTGAGAGCGCTGAAACCTGGCCTGGGCAGGAAGGTGTAAAATTGCCCGGTATTGAATTGGTTAAAGGTATACCCCAATTGCTGACTAAAACCAGGCAATGTAGAGACCATTCCTTTGGATGTTTACGAACATGGCCACCAGGATGGCAGAACAATGTCCTCATGGAATGCGAAAACCACCTTCAGAAGAAAGCACGTAAAACCACCTTTTGGTTGTAAAGAAAGAGCTCTTCACAGAAAAAGGCCACCAGGGCAGAAAAAATGATTGATAGACATAATGGCTATGAAAAGGCTAAATAGCTGGCAAGAAACACCCGGGGAATATTCCTGATTGGTTCAAAGAGGGGTTTGTGCATAGCAGAGAGAACCAAATTAAGGTCCCACCATGGAAGCACAGGGTACTGTAAGGGGGGCCTGATACGAGAAACACCTTGAATAAAGGATTTTACAAGGAAGTGCGAAGCCAGAGGCCTTTCGAAAAGGTTACAATATAAACAGAATATGTAGTCATATACTTTGTGTGGACATATAGAAGAGAAAACTGAGTACCTTAAAAAGAACTTTATTATGTACCATTAAAAATCTATTATATAACATTAAAAATTATTCTCCACATAGGGGTTCACAACATGCAAAGCTTGCAAGTGGACTCAGTGTGTTTTGGGAATCCTTCTTCATGAGCACATGTAACCGAATGAGTACACTGGGACCTGTTCCTAATCTTTAACAGAGTAATATCAGCCAGTAAGTTAGACTGGAATTCATAGCATGCGCAATGTTGCCCATAGAGGTGCAAGTGAGTAAGCCAAGGTGAAGACAAGGTCTCTCGGGTGGGAAATTCAGGTACATTCAGTAAACAGCCAATGGTCTTGTACACAATATTAAAATAGAAAGACAAACCATCCAGACCCAACGTAAATAAGTCAATATAAAGACAGCATGGTAGTCAAAGTAGTCAAGGCACATATATTCCAAAGAAGGAGCTCTTAATAAGCATCTTAGAAACAAACTGTTCACATCAATCCAGCCTGTATACAGGGGGCAATGTGTATGCAATTTAAAAAGTGATTTTCTCTGTGCAATGATCTTGTGAGTAATACTTTTAATTGGCTTGGACTAAAGTATTGAATCTCTTTACTACACTATGAGAGGTTATTCGTTTTCTCTTTTCTGCTGAATGGGCTGCTTTCTGAGACATCAGGATATATTTGTGGTCTACCCTTCTGGTGAAGTGCGAAGCGTTCTCACCCAGATTGCTGGGAAAAGCTTCTCCTGACCTCACCTTAGTGTGAGTCAAGGTTTGAGTTAAGCGGCAACAGTAAGAGGTGGGGGCACTCGCTGGTGAAATATATGGGAAGCGGCACCAGTAAGAGGTGGGGGCATTCGCTGGCGAAATACACGGGAAGCAGAAACAGTAAGAGGTGGGGGGCACTCGCTGGCGAAATGGCACTCGTAAGAGGTGGTGGCGCTCACTGGTGAAATACACGGGAAGCGGCACCAGTAAGAGGTGGGGGCACTCACTGGTGAAG